AGAGATTTCCTACTATAGCAATCGAATTGTGCTATGTATTTGCGAACCGACGCGCAGGAAATCGATTTTGCTCTCTTTGTGACAAACTATCAAGTAATAAACCGCGCTTTGAGTGATGGCTGTAGGTGTTAAGGTGGGCCGGGGGTCCGAACGGCCCAGCCTACTGGCCTTCTGGCGTCTGTGTGCGTAGTGCGCTCGCACTAATAGTGTGTGTGTCCGACCTAGTGGCCCGAGCGGCTCCCTGAAGTGGCCACTGCCGTGAGTGGTCCCCCGCCACGGCTTTGCAACCCTCCCACCCTCCACCCCTACACTCCCCCTCACCCGTGCTCGTGCTAGGATGGCTCTGCCAACGGAGCTAGGCGGTTGATGTTCCATTGATTTCCCAGAAGCGTCATAGCGGGAGATAATTCCGGCAGAACACTATCCCGTCGATGCATCATAGGGAAAGAGGAGGGGTGGAAACGGGGGGATCAGTGGATGTACACATCTCCGCCGCATTGCGTTCTTTGCACTAACGAACGCACTATACCCGAGTCCAGAAGCTACAGCCACCACCACCACAAGTCGAACACTCTTGTCGTAGTATGTTTTGGGGTCAGTCCACCCCCCATCCCACCCCGTCTTAATCGAAATGTGTGACCTGAACTCGTTTCTCTGCGCCACACCGATCCAAAAGGCACTCTCCAAGGTAGCTCCGTGTGCGGGTAGAGGGGTGGAGGCAAGGAGGACGGAGGTCAACATCGTCTCCAAACAGCAGTTTAAATGTCCCCTTCAGGGGCCCACCGGGACCCCCACTGGCGTGCCCAGAGGGGGCGGTGTGGCACGAGTTGATTAAACGAGAGTTGAGGGAGAAGGGACGAGGGGTGTGGTCAACTGGGATTTTGCTTCTTGCCGCAGAGACCACAGAAATGATTATTTCGTAGGTCTTCACAAAAAGTAGATTTTTAAAATTTTCCCACAAACTCTACTTTCAGAGACCAGAAAAACGATATTTTATTTTTTGTCTAAAGGCCAGAACTCTTATTTCCTTACGGACTTCCGGTGCAAACGTAATATGGATCACAAATCATCCGTAATACGGGTAAAATTGTCCAAATTTTAGATAATTTGATCCATATCACAAACATGCCGCCTATTGTCTAATTTAAAAAACTCTGATCTTATGGAAGTCTAGAAGAAGTGGAAATTTCCCGCGGAGACTCCCTCATAGTTAGAGGTGTTTCCCTCAAACTACGTGTCTTTTTTTCTCAACAAAATTCTTCATACAACTTCAAACGGTGATGACATCCTTTACTTTACAATTATAAATGCGTTCGTTGTAAAACAATGTTTGATTTCTTCTTGTAATCTTTAGTTAAAAGTCAGCAAGCGAGTCCACAGATACACAGCAGAGCCGGGGAGGTGCGGTCGGTCGGTTGATCTCGGAAGGCCACTTAGCCGGGCTCAGGCAAATGATGACAATTCGGACGCTGCGCAAAGGGACCGCAGGGGTTGTGGGTGGAGAGGGGGTGGGGGTAGGGTATAGCGAGCTGGGGCGAGGCGTGGCGGCACAGAGCCACCCCACCCCGCTGCTACGGTGCCCGGCCGCCAGAAAAACAAACCCAGTTTGAATTATACACGCTTTTCATACCGCTGTCACTGTCCTGCACTGCTGTGTGTGTAAATCGTTTTTTTTCCCCCACCAGGTGCATCTATACGTGTATGTACGGCAGAATGGCACGAAAAATATAAAAGCGTGATGGCAAATAAACAGGCAATATATCGTCGCATTTGTAGGCTGCGCGGGCTATTTCTCTACATTTCATATTCCGTGGTGGTAATTAGTGCAGACAGACGTAATAATAACCGCTGCGCTCCGCAGCGCCACGGCTGTGGCGTCCGCGAATATTTAATTTCTAAATGAAGAGACGTCCTTGTCAACACGGAGGCACGTCTGACTCACGCCAGCTGGGCATCCTGCCTTATTCCATACTTGCCGTGATGAATTGCTTCTTTGGCAGTGTCAAATATTTTAGTTTTGATAAACTCACTGGAAGTACAATAACATAATGTACGAAGGATTGTAGCTATCGAACCTAACTAAAAAATATAGGCTTTTATTACTTCACTCTGAACGCCGTGGTTGCCAAAGAGTGTATTTCCGATTCACTCCTAATCAATTGCGCACCAATCATGTTCTACAAAACGGCAAAATGCGAAAGAATCAATGTTATAAAAATATCACAACTTTTCTGTATATCACATACTTGTTTTGTATCCTTGACGTACGTTGTGACGCAAAACTTTTTTTTTAGCAAAATGAGTTGTCTTTGGGTCTCCTTTATTTGCTCATGTGTATACTAGGACACCACTTTAAACCTACACCATATCAGCCTCTTTCCCCCCTCCCCCCCTAGTGTCATCTCCACTTCGTTACCGTTCTCCTCAGAAGCGTATTACATTCACGTCCGCATTTCTATTCTAGACGTAATTTGTTTGTTTTGGACATCACACACGTGTTCTCTGTATTTTAGCTAGAATTTCATCTTATTTTCCAGGCATGGTGGACCTTAAACAAATCAGGCAGTTTGTTTCATATATGAATTGGAGTCGTTGCTTTTTCCGTGGGCAGGTGAATCCTTTTTGCGTGTGGGCTGGGGCTGATCACGAACGCTATTGGATACATGTTGATAGAGTTTCTTCCCCTTCCCTCTCCCATCCTTTCCCTTAACCCCCTTCCTAGGCAGGGATTGGGATTTGACTGCGACGCCGCGGAGCAAACAATAAGGCCAGTGCCAGTAAAACCCGAAGCCCGTTCTGAGCCGCCGCGCGGGTGTGCCCGCCCTGTATATGGCCGCAGCGGCCCGAGGCCCAGGGGCTGGTGATGCAGTGGTGTGTGTGTGCGTGTATAAAGGGGAAACGGGGGGAGGCGGAGGGGTATTGTCAAAGCGCACAGGTAACCGCAAAGCCTGGCTTGCAATCAACAACCACTGGCTGAATTTGGGAGGGGGATGGGGGTCCGCAGGTTAATATTGGGAGTTCAACCGTGTGCTGTGTTCAAATCCCGTTCGGCAAAATGTAGCGTTTCCTGGAGCATATGCTCCAATTAAACCTCAACGCACGATTCTGCCATTGTTAAAATATAAGATTTGTAGTACCTGATTTGCATGGGACCCTGAAGTGGAATACGCCCTGATTTGGTGTACAGCTTGGGTGTGATGGTACCTAGTGTACTATGGTGGCTCACCTTCTGAGTTGGCGTTTGGTTAGTATGAGCACCATGAGCGCGAAGTTGGCGGCCATGCCGAGCGAGCCTAGGCAGAAGATGATGGCGGCTTCCGTGGTGCCGCCCGGGTGACACTGGAAGGCGGGCGACGAGCTCACAGACACGTTCTGCGTGCCCATGCCGCCACTGCCCAGCCGGAGATTAGCCCCGATCATGACGGCAGGTCCTGCAACAAAAGAGACAAAAGTTCTATTGGAATAGTTATGCATGTATTTATTTAATTGGCTGACTGTTTCTGGAGCCTCATATTGAACCCGAATTGAGTTTTTCAACTCGATGCGTTTCAGCTAGACGCTTCCCTCTCTCTCTCTCTCTGGGCTGTTAGAAAGCTTTTGAATCAAAACGCGTGGTGGACCTGCGCGTGCCGCTTGCGATCTTCCGCGGCTCAAGGTTGGGTGCCTTGCCTCTCTATCGCCCAGGCTTGGCGGCAGGCGTCCATCGGCATATAATGTACCAGGTGCCTGATTCACGGCGCGCACTTTTGTATTATGCAACCCGCCATGCAACCACCCGTGTGTGGAGCCCTCGCGGGCCGAGCGACCAATAACACTGGCGGGCGCGTCGCCCCTTCCCCTTACTTTTAGAGCCGGTCGCCGGCCCCGCCTGATGGCGTCCCAGGTGGAGCATTGCTAGTGAAGTGCGAAATGCAACAGTGCGCGGCGTGGAATCAGCCGCCTGGGACATCGACCTTTTCCTCATTCCCTTCATTTATAAATCCCCAAAGCTTCTTATTCGCGCTTCGGCGAGCTCAATCACGCATTTAATTAATTTCCTCCAATTGCAACTCCCAGCGACCGATTCGTGTACTGTATTCTCTCCTTTTGCGCCTCCCGTGGAGCAGGAAAGAGAGGTTGAACTCGCACAAACAGCACACATCTGATGAACGCCAGAGATGACTAAATTAATAGGATTTAATCTTGCGACACATTCATTTTTCATTCCATGATAAGTTTTGCTAATGTGCAGCAGGTGAGCTGGTTTGTGCGGGCCACGCCTTTAACCTCGCCTGCGTACCTCGCATGCGTCTACCTGCCTCCTGCAACTTTTTGCACGGTGGGCCTTTGTTTTTTCCTTCAAAAAAAGATAAAAGGGGATAAAGACAATTTATGTTAAAACACGCAGACGCGGATTGGTGTAATCTGACTAAATGGCCAGTGAGCCGCGACAAATTAAAATAGTGGTTGAAGGGGTAAATATAAGAAAGTGAGATGAAGACAAGGAGGCGGGTCTGGACATCGTTCTGTAGGCTTTCGTAATTAAAAGCCAAAGTATACTGACGCAAAGATTGTGTGGGATGCTCTGATCCTTGTACTGATGCTCCTCAACATTGTTAAGGTAATTTTGTGGCTCTGCTGCTGAACTCAAGACTGACTCCCTGCACTTTCACTTCTAGCCACCCCCTTCTCTGCTTCCCTTCGGCTTTGATTAGGACGAAATTTATCGCCCCGGATGCTTGGACTCAGGGGAGGAGGGTGAGAGAAGTTTCGTGGAGGGGTAAGAAAGAGAAAGGGGGGGGGGGAGGAGAGGGGGAAGATTTCTTTCTCGACAAACAATCCGTTTCAACACGTCCGCCCTGTATCCGTTTCCTTATTGGCCCAGACTTGTGATGTGAGCGCCCTGCTCCTGGGCAGTCTTTTTCTTGCCCTGCACATCATACTTTATATCTTGTTTCCCCAGTATTATGGTAACAATGAGAAATAATGCGCGGTATATAATTGTATTTTCACATCTCGTATTTGGGATCATCTAGACTGTTCGTCCCTCATTTGCCTCTATGAACCTGCCCTAACCCGCCACAGCCTCTGCAGAGGCCAGCATGGTGCACGGTAAAAACAATGTCTCATTTTTTGAGGAGAAAGGGAAAACTTTGAGGATCTCCCAGATTTGAGGAAAACTCCTCAAATCTCGCCTCAGATTTTGAGGAACCTCCTCAAAAAATAAGGAAGAGTGACATATTTTTTGAGGAGACTTCCTCGAAATCGGAGGAGCTTTCTACAAACCAAGGGAGTTCCTCAAAGTTTTCACTTTTCCCTGAAAAAATGAGACATTGTTTTTACCGTGTGGCTCTCAGAGCGAGTTCGTCGTGCTTCTGCATTATAGCTGTCACCCGCATAAGTAGCTAGAGGAGAAATTTGCCAATTGCGTGCATAAGACAAAATAATTCATAGGGGCAAGATAAATATTTTCGCAACACATTTGTACGTTTCTACATGGTGGATTGTTCCATTTATTCACCATCCCCTCTTTCAGCTCTTATGGCGTATGGCGTAGGAAGGTACCCTCAGTTCACAGCCCACATCTCTCTTTCGCATTATCCTTCCCTTCTGAAGCCCCTTTTCCCCGCCTTTTCTTCTGCCAGGAAGTCGTTGCTTACTGACAATCCACCCCCACCTCTTAGTTTAATGCTTTCTTCAGTTAAAATCTAGCGTGCTTTTCGAGTAACCCTCTAAAGCCTTCCGTTGAGAGTATACGGGGCAGGCGGACGGTCTGCTCAGTGACTGGCAGCGTAGAATTAATGACTGAGCTTTGCAGCGCCTGCCGCGGCTCGCCGGCCGGCAGGCAAGCCTGCTGTGCCTGCTCTTCATGTCCGCTTGTTTGCTTCAGCTTCGTTTTGCACAGCAGAATCTGCGGTGAACCATAACGCGAAACTCCCTGTCTCGATGTTTTTGTCCCCTGGTTGTAGTAGAGAAACGCAACAAAGTACATTGATGCAAATAATCTCTTTCCTTTCTAATTTTCAAATCATAAACTCGGATGGAGCACGTTCTTAGGTGTTAGACTGGAAATTTGAATACTTAAACGAGTTCAACACTGTGAAAAAAGTAGGTAGGTTTACAGGAAAATTTTCCTTGACGCAAGTCGTAAAATTACAATTTGAAATCGTAAAAATACATGCAGTACGTATCGACTTCAAATCCCTTGGCGAGTAAAAAAATGTGCTGTCGTAAATTTACAACTTAAATTATAATTTGAGTTAACAAAATTTTTGTAAATTTACGACAAAATTTTTCACAGTGCAAGGGTACATTTGAACATTTTTTAAAGCTCCATGGCCAACCCTGAAGTAGAACACTTCTACTTGTTCAACGTTACTGTTAAACACGTTTTAGCATTCAAATGTCCAGTCAAACCCCTAAAAGTGTGCTATGTAGTGTTGAGCACTTTCACTTGCACGCCAGTTGCACATGCACTATTAATTTATCAGTGAAAGCAAAAGATAATTGAGAGGAGTATTGTGCGTCTTCACATTCTTACAGATATTTTATATAATGTAACATTTATGGATGTCAAAACAAAACATGCAATCCCAACTAAAACAAAATGCATTTTGTCTAACAATCTTTGTGTAAATCTCAAATTACGACACACATCCCTGAGCTGATTTCCTAGTGAGCGCTAACTGTGGATGGCGGTGTGGGTATGCCCGGGCGCCTCTCACCACCCCGCCGCACTGCCGCCCGGCCGGGCGTGGCGGGGCGTGGCGCCAACTCAAAGGAAAGTTGTATCCACGAGGGAGCCGTGGCCACCACACCACACCCCCTTTTCTGCGCCGCGCCGTCCCACGGCTCGAGATCGGGCTGATCCGCTGGGCAGAGAAAGTAAAGTTATTGTTATACCGAGCGACCAGACTCGACCAGAGGACTTTCAATCTGTTCTTCCAAGCGGCAGAGGCGGCGGCCACGGGGGCGGTCAACTAAGTTTGTGCGTTTGTGTGTCTTGTTTTCGTTGGTCCCGGAAGACTTGTAAACAAGCTGTGAGATATAATAATTTTAAACAATAATCCACTTGACTCCCAGCAGTTTCGCTCGCTGCGCTGCTGAAAGCTTGCGGGGTTCTGCTACAGTGCGCATTGAAATACCCACTGGCTCCGCTACAGGGCACAGGGCACTCGCGGCGTCCATAGGCTCCACCTACAGACGACCCTTGAGCTGAGGCCTGGGCCGGCAAGCGCTCAGCAGCTGGCAGCATCAGCAGCTGATGGCACACGTCACACGGAATGTTTTCTTGGCTCTTTACCGCGGGCACGGGCCCCTCTGCAGGAGGACGAGGAGGACCCTCGGAGGAAGGCCAGTAGGGGCCAGAACATGTGTGTGCGTATCCCTTCTATCAATGATACGCCCCCCCCCCCCTCCTCTCACTTCCCTTCCCGAGGGGTCACGCCCTAACGCTCCCCACTCGCTCCGCCGTCAATTTTTCGATAGGGAAAGGAAACCCTTGGGGCTCGTCCACGGGCCCATTCTCCGGAAAGCTCACTACTCACTGCCAACCGGCGCGGGGCGGATGGGGGGCCTGGTGGCGCGGGGTGTGGGACCGCCCGTCCGCGGGAGTCCATGTGAATACGCTTTAGCTGGCCTCTCTCTTGCATTGCCCGTGACGGCTACACTGACATCTGTAGTTTGCAACCTTCGCGCTAGAGTGAAATTCATGTTCTTCGTTCAAGGCTTAAATCGTACTAGGATCGCGATCTACACTGTTCGTAACCGTTAGTCTGGAAATGTTAACACTTAATGGATATGGATTTGATAATTGGAAGTGTTGAGCTGAAAAGTTGGAACTCTGCTGTGGAACACAGTTATTTCACAGTTCTTCACAGTTACACCTGCACTTGACAGTATTGGAACGCGGGCACGAGCACGTGCCTCGCACTGATGCCTTTTTCAGTTAAGAGAAGGGAAAATCTAGAAAGACGGCAGAACTGTGCTACAGGGGTGGGATGGATCTCGCTACTCATTTCCTGCCTTACCCGCTGTGGCCGAACCCTTTCCTCTCCCTGTGTTCAGTAAATTTTAGTGCGTAGACACGTATGGGGACAAACTAGAGAGACCGTACATCCAGTGCCACCCCAAGCCTGACCCAGGCTGGCTTCTCCCCCATTCTCTTCTCTTCCTCCTCCTTCGCACACCAAGTGCACTCTCTTATTCCCCCGGGACCCGGCTGCTCCATATCACAGAATTATTGCCTGAAGGTATGCACACTGGGATATAATTTGGTCTCACTCCACTTGGCCTGGTCGTGGTCGACCGGAGTTATCGCGCGTTGGCGGCAGCTTTACCAAAGACCCACCTCTCCTCTCCCAGAGTAGGAAAGTTGGGGGGGGGGGGGGCGATGCTTGCAAACTGTATTCCTTGCATCGGCAAAGAATTAGCGAGCTTTTTATTACAAAGA